ACACTGCTGGGAGTGGTAAAAACTTATGCTTTATCATTGGCCCCAAAAGGCATATAGTTGGGCTCTATAATGTTTTCCAGGGTTTTTTTTTTCCTTTTTCTCTATCAAGAGGGGAGAAAACATATAAATTGCATGTGGCCTAAAATGGACGTCTTCTAGAGATCGCAACTTGTGTTAACTACATAACCTTGCTTCCCGTCCACAGAACATGTGCCCATTTCAATATTTACAGAATGTATTATTAGGAAACATAGAATAATAAAACATGAAATGAGGCAAAAGCATAGGAATTTGGCTTTTATTTTGCTTTTGGTAGAGAGATTTTTGTCTCAATCTTGGAACAAACTTAAAAAATAGAGGTTGTTAAGCTAGGCTGGAAACAATTTTAAGCAAGAGCAGGAGCTATATTCACCTTTTTGGAATTATGCAAATGTAACCTGTTTGGAGAATAAAAAGCGATGGAAGAAATTAGCAGATGACACTAGAAGAGCTCATAAAGGGCATTAAAAAAAACTTTGGTCAGTTTAGCATTAAGAAAAAACAAAGGGTAAGCATTTTGTGATTCGTGTATGCGTGTCTGTGTGTGGAAATGACAAATCTATTTTAATAGCTCTTATGTTTCTTCCCCCTGCACATGCCAGTAGACTTACCAAAAATGGTCCATACAAAAGTGGGTCTGACTAAAGATGGCAGAAACTTCCTCAGCGTCTACCACACGGTGCCTCTGCCTTCCTGCCACTCACTAAAAACATGATTTCCAAAATGGATGCTTTCAAAAATTCTTCTCTACCTTCCTTTTATAGGAAATAGACAATTTTCCTAACACATAAACACCTCTGACCCCACATTTACAAGAACATGGATCAGGAGTCTGACCTATCCCTTTTGAAAAGTTGCCCATCTTTAATATGGGGTGTAACAAATGAAGTGCAAAGATCCTAGAGGATACTACTTTACATCATCATCAAGCCTATCAGGAGTGAGGAAAGGGGAACCTCTGTGAAGAGAGAACTGGGAGAAAAAGTGGAATTCACTCTGTTTTTAAATACCCTGAGTGAATACGGTATAAAAACCACAATGCATAGTTTTATCCTCAAAGGATGTAAAGGAAATAGAATCTTCAGAAAAGAAAGGCTGGTTTGTGCTGGGGAGAAAGCTGAAACTAACATTTTATAAGTCACACTTCAGCCAAGTACTTAGTTTTTTCAGCCTGAGGCCTAAACTATAAAAATTGGAAGGAACCCTCTCTTTAGGACTAGACTGAAGAGTTTATATTATGGATCCTAGCAGCTAACTTTGTGTGAGCTACCTCTCTCCCTCTACACTAAGCTTAGTAATGGGATTAGGATGCTTCCACTCTGGCTTCCTTCTTCCATTTTCCTTTCTGCTAAAAATCTAGGACTGTTATAAGCATCATTGCCTGATTATTGGTATTACAAATAGTTATTGGTAAATAACCAAAACTGAAAAAAAAACCCATGTTTAGCAACAATGTACTAGACATTGTTTTGTTACATGCATGATGATTTTAAACTAAGTATTAGATGATTACAACATTGGACTTGTAGAACTTGAACATTTATACCGAGTTTATGTCAAATTTATCCAGGTTGAGGGGTACCTGGTTGGCTTAGTTCGTTAAGCCTCCAACTCATGGTTTCAGTTCAGGTCATGATCTCGCTGTTGTGGGATCGAGCTCCGTGTCGGGCTCTGCGCTCAGTGCGGAGTCTGCTCCAGATTCTCTCTTCCTCCTCCTCTGCCCTTCCCCCTGCTCGTATGCACTCTCTCTCTGTCTCTCTCTCTCTCAAAAATAAATACATAAAACCTTTAAAAAAATATTTATCCAAGTTGAAACCACTGAGTAATGATGTTAAAGATTCATCTTCAATAGCTGAATTTCATTCCCTTTAAAACCTAAAGGTGAATTGAAAATTTGCCCTCTTCCTGAACAATGAAATTCTTAAAGCGGGACCTGTTTCTCCCTATGCCATTACCATTCAAACTGAACAACTGAACTAATCTAAGAAATGATGCATCTGTCACTAGAGGGGGTTAAAGCATTTCTGTCCTCGGCTGCCATGGGGAAAGCAAGGTTCTAGAAAGATGCCCTTTCTCCCCTTTGGGATGTGTGGGAGTATTAAACCCCAAATAGAACAGTGCTAAACTTTCCTTTTTCATATTTTGTTTTTCTATAAACAAACTTTATCTGTGGCCTTGTAGCAGACAGTCAGTTCCAGGAAGCACACAGCAACAATGTCATTCCCCTTGTGTTGCACATAATATAAAAACAGGGTTTAAGTAAATATTTGAATTAGGACAATTTGAAAACTGACTTTGGAGTCCCCTTTCCCTGGCATGTATCGATCCCCTTCTTTCCAGAGCGGCTGTTTCAGCGAATTCAGTATGCCACACCTGAGCCATTTAAATGAAGCTGCTTCCGGGAAACCAGTACTGAATACTAGCAGGGTTTCATCTTAAAAGCAGCCTTTGCAGAATGGAACTCAGATTAGGAGGCTCGGCTTCTGTTGTGCAGCAAAGAAATTGGGTCTAGAAATAGCATAGAGCAACACCTAGTGCTAAACGTGGATATAGCAGAAAGGTCGTCAGTTGCAGCGGGCTTATTCCACTATGGGTGAAGGTTGCAGTTAGCTCTTTGTTTGGGTATTTTAACCGTGGAATTAGTCTGTGAAATGACAGGCGTGGACTGGCTGATCTCTCAGGTCCTGTTCCATTCTGTGATTCTCCAGTTGGGTCGTTACTGTGTACTTTTCATTCTCATTGCCCCACATGCTTTACAGTGAACCTGTCGTTGGATCAAGGAGGCTTGCCTAGTATCCTAGCTGTTATCTTTAATGTCAATTAGCTTTGGGTGGATCAAGAGAAAGTAACAGAAAGTCTTATGTACTGGGACAAGGAGATGGGGAAGTATCAGGAAATGCCCTTTTCTCCCCTGCCCTTTAAAATAAATATATAAATAAATAAAAACCAGGGCAGGACATCTGCATTGTTGAAAAGAGAAAGGAAAGTGTGGGCCTTTGTATACAAAAACGATACCACCATCTGGTAAAAGTAGGCAATGTTTGTCCTAGGCTACCCAACTCCTTATATCAGAACGATGCACTTAGTTTGTCTGTTGTCCTGGCTCAGAAAACATCACAATATCATCTGTGTGGAAATACAATAGTCTTAGTTTCTATAATCAGATTCGCGTGAATAAAAATTTTATTTTACTATTTTTTAATTTTTTTAAAGATTTTATTTATTTGAGAGAGAGCTCCAGAGAGAAAGAGAGAGAGAACACAAGTGGGGGGAGGGGCAGAGGGAGAAGCAGACTCCCTGCTCAGCAGGGAGCCTGATGTGGGACTCGATCCCAGGGTCCTGGGATCATGACCTGAGCCGAAGGCAGAAGCTTACTGCTTACCGGACTGAGCCACCCAGGTGTCCCTCGTGAATAAAAATTTTAATATCTTTGCTATCATTTTTCTAGAGAGTAGGGGAAAATTGTTATCTATGAAAAGTATTCAGACGAAGAAGTAGATAAAACTTTGAATATACAGAAATACGTAAAAGCCATTCAATTAGACAGATCACCAGTGAACATGAGCTGCTTTTAAAAAGTTGGCATCACCCTTAGAGCTTTCCCCCAGAGGCGGAAGTTCTGGCTAGACTCACGCGGTTGGTCTGTGACCTTGCATCTTCCTCTGTTTAACACAGAGTCATGTGGCAGTATGTCACATGCCCATATAGCAAGGCCAGAATAATCCCAGCATGGGCACGCCTCTCCCATATATTCACATACAATGCACATGTATTTACAGTACAGTCTCACAGCTGAGCGGGCTAACCTGGAAGATTTCCTTTGTGTTTCGGTGTGGATTTTCATGGAGAGGGGATGGAGAGATTTAAGGTACCAAAACATTAATTGTTTCTAAGTGAAGGCCTGAGGAGCTAGCTTTGTCAGCAAAATGGTCTAGATAAGTTAGTAACTGTGATAAGCAGCTTCATTCATCCATCCATTCATCCATCCATCCATTCATTCATTCATTCATTCATTCATCAATGCTTCCTAAGCATCTACTATGAGCCAGGTATTGTTTTGGGCTCTGGAATGTAGCAGTGAACAAAACAAAGTCCTTACCTTCATGGAGCTTTCATTCTAGTTGGGAAGACACACAGTAAACAAAAGAGCCAAGAGCGATGAAGAATCAAGTCAGGTGGTAATGAGTAAGCTCCATAGAGGGAGAGGGAAAGAGATTGATGAGAAAGGTCTGTGATGAGGGGCTTTTTGAGCAGAGACCTGGATGAATTGAGGGAGCGAATCAACTGTTGTACCATTTGTAGCTCACCTTGCTTCCCTGCATTATGAATATACAGAAAACTGAGGTTCCTAATATTTTAACCATGGCTTGGAAAATAGAGTAAGGACTTTGTTTCCTGGCCAATCAGAAGTTGATTTAGAGGGGCTCCTGGGTGGTTCAGTCAGTTAAGCATCTGACTCTTGATTTTGGCTCAGGCCATGATCTCAGGGTCGTGAGATCAAGCCCCAGTGGGGCTTCCGCACCAGGTGTGGAGCCTACTTAAGATTCTCTCTCCCTCTCCCCTGCCCCTACCCCCTCCTGTGCTCTCTCTCTCAAAAAACAAAACAAAACAAAACAAAACAAAAAAACAAACCATGATTTAGAGAGGTTAACCCTACTGGTCACTCTCAGCCTGTGGATGGGGATTGGTCTTTGAGTTCTGTGCACGCCCAGATCCTCACTGAATTCTCACCTCTCCATCCACCTACACTAGTCACTCTGTGACTTCAGATGTTAGCAGGTCCCTCCCAGTTTTGCATCCCTTTTCAAGGAGCTAGAAAGAAGAGTGATTTCGCTTTATGCTCCTTCAGTCCTTGCCCTTCCAGGCCTCTGCTGTGTCGGTTGACAAGTTTTAATTATCTTATGACACAGTCACCAGAGCTGGGCTGAGATCACCAATTTGTTACTCAAAGGCTGTTGACTATGTGGCTGGTGGACGCCGGCTCCCAGCTGGTGGATGCTGGCTTCCCGGCTGCCTATTTGTGTGCCAGGAGGGCAAAGGGAGGCCTCCGTGGAGGAACTCTACACGAAATCTCTCCCGCAGGAATCCGGTTGGCCAACAGACCATGTACAGTGCAGACTTTGTTTCCATTGCTTCTAGCAGCCAGCAGTGGATCCAGATGGTGGTTCCCAGTCCTCCAGGAGATAACACTCTTACTGATAAAGGCTTCTGGGGGACAGGCATTTTGGCCATGCAGGCACTTTAGCTCCTTGGGGATTTATTTCAAGGCACGGAATCTAAGATATGGAAGGAATCTGCGAAATTATCTAGTCTAACCTCCACATGTCGCTGAGAAGGACACCGAGATTATGAGAGATTTTGATTTACTCGAGGTCACACAGCCAGAGTCTCTTCCTACTGCATTACACTGCCCCTCATCTTACTCATTTGTTTTAGCCTATGCCCCTTCGGCCAGCCATGCGGGAACAATGCATGCAATAACCGTGATAGTCCATCTCCACACGAAGGGCGAGAGCGCACACATGGAGCACTGAGAAATGGAAAACTAGACCAGCAATGCTCTAGATAGAAAGTCCAGAGGTTTCCTTCAATACATAGGAATGAAACTTTGGCTGTGGTTCTCCCGTTTGTCCTAATTTTATAAAAAAGAAAGGGTGAGGAATATCTCTCTGTCTCTGTCTCTCTCTCCAACTGGGAGTAGAATCAGCAGTTCTAAAAACTGTCTCCTTTGTGCACATGCAGCATCGTCTCCATTCCTATTATGTCCTGGGTTTGAGTACAGCCCTATTTGGTATAGGCCATGGATCAATCTTCATCTATGCATACATGTTTTATTTATTTATTTTAAGATTTTATTTATTTATTTGAGAGAGAGAGAATGAGAGACAGAGAGCACGAGAGGGAAGAGGGTCAGAGGGAGAAGTAGACTCACTGCTGAGCTGGGAGCCCGATGCAGGACTCGATCCCGGGACTCCAGGATCATGACCTGAGCCGAAGACAGTTGCTTAACCAACTGAGCCACCCAGGCGCCCTATGCATACATGTTTTAAAAGGTGTAGTACACCTATGTCCTGATCTGGTAGTGGAAAACAAAAATTACAGACTTCGGAGTCAAGCATTTGTAGGTTCAAAACCAGGATTCAATGCTGATTAGCTGTATCACCTTCACTATTTACGCCTTAGAACTTCAGCTTTGTCATTTGTAAAATGGAAAAAATAATGACAACTGTAGAGGGCTTTAGTGAACCCATCCCCACAATTCCCGCCTCTCTTGTGCCTTTTACGTGGATATATTTGGATCCAAAAGTATGCTTAGTTTCTCACTGAACCGTTTGGTTCTTTCCTTTCCAAAAATGCTAAGAGAAGGAACTAAATGAATATACATTTCCTGTTTAAGGGGATTTAAATGTTTGTCCCTAGAAGCAACTTAAAAACAAGCATAACCTGAGAACATTTCAGGATACTTAGACTTCCTTCTTTCTCATCCCCTTTTGTTTTGTTTTGCTTTGTTTTTTGCCCTTTCCCTCTACTTATTTCTCTTTTGTCCGCCCTACAAGTATCTTTTGTAAAATGTACACGAGTGGCCCGTGGCTTCCACTGCTCCTCTGTCCCGGAATCAACTCTGTCCGGACCCAGGCTTTGGATCTGTGAGTGACGCAAGAAGCTGTTTTTGGCTTCAGGAATGTTTTTCTCTACGTTCTGACTCCTCTCTTGTTGTTCTTCTTTCCTCTCCGTCTTCTCTCCTCCTCTCTTCCCCGGACACCCCCACTGTTTCTCTCTTCCTGTTTTCTTAGTGTCTTCCCCCACTCCTTGGTGGCCAGAGCACTGATCAGTCTTAGCTGCTGTCACGATCTCACTTCTATCTGCGGCCCTTCTAGTCCGTGATTAAACAAGATAGGAGCAGCCTTCCCAAAAGACAGACAGTCCCCACAGTAGCCTGTGGGAGGCTGCCTGGTGAGGTCAAGTCTGCCAGTAAGAGCATTTCCTTGCAGCTGCAGGGCTTGGGAGGGCAAACTGACAAGGAGCTGCACACGTTTGCTGGTGACACACTGAAGTTGTTTTGCTTTGCCAAAACATGGGAAAATTCTGAGAAATTCCAGATGATTGCAAAACACATCTGACGGTCAGATACACAAAAGGCAGATAATGTCTAAACTAGGTAAGGACAAGTTGATGCACAAATCTCGCTTTGGGTCCAAACATCTTGCAGATTGGAAGGCTTTAAATTTGACAATTCCCAGTTGGGGATGATAAAAATTGAACTTTGCTCTCCTTAAACCCCAAGCCATTATGAGAAGAGAGGGTTCACTCAAAGTTGAAGTCAAACGGCTAGTAAAAAGCAGAAGGAAATGTGCATTATGAAGGAGCTTTAGAAAGGTTTTTAAACCAGTAAAGAAATTGGAATAGCTGGAAAGACAAAAGCGTATACAAACGATACCCATCAATGTGTCTGCAAGAGTGGTTCACCTTCACAGTGTAACCTAACGTACCTGTTGCATCGTCCCTGTTCGAGAAAGACAGGTGTCATGTTGATGCTAAAGAGGGGACAGAGCAGCTTTTCCTGTGACCCACAGGCGTCAATATTCTCGGGGATTATTGAGCCAGCGTGGCTGTGTGTCTGCGTAAAAGACCTTTCATTTTATGCAGTTCGCAAAGGTATTGTTTTTCCTTTTGTTCTCTCACATTTTAATTTAAAATTTTCAGATCTATAGAAAAGTTAAAAAAAATAAAGAACACTAACTTAACTAGTTTCACCAATAAGACATTCTCTTATATAATTATCATGTCATTCATACTCCCAAGACACTCAGCATTGATACACAATTATCTACTATAAAATCCATATTTATTTTTATTTTATTATTTTTTTAAAGACTTTATTTATTGAGAGAGAGAGAGAGAGCAGTTGGAGGGGCAGAGGGAGAGAGAGACTCTCCAGCGGACTCTGAGCTGAGCACAGAACCCGATGCGCGGCTCGATCCCAAGCCCTAAGATCATGACCTGAGCCCAAATCAAGAGTAGGATGATCCACCGACTGAGGCACCCCGGTGCCCCATAAAACCCATATTTAAATTTCCCCAAATATCTCAGCAATATTTTATTATCTTTCGTGACATGGACAATTTTTGAGGAGTCCAGGCTAATGCTTTTTAAAGTGTACCTGTAATCTGAATTTGTCAGATTGTTTCTTTATGATTAGATTCAGGCTAAACATGTTTGCCAAAAACACTATGCACATGATGGTGTGTGCTTTCCTTATATCATATCAGGAGGCAGTGATGTCCCTTTGTCCTGGTGTTGGTGATATCAAGTCTGATCATTTGGTTCAGGTGGTGACTGCCATATCTTCCATTGTAGAGCTATCATTTTCCGTTGTGCTTGAATCGGTTACTACACTGGGGTTAGCAGAGTGTTAATATTCTAATTTTTCATTCCTTTTGTATGTCTTAGATGGAATCCTTAGTCCTAAACCTGGGTCTTTCTGATGTCAAAGTTCATGATCTTTCTGCTACAGGAGCTACGTCTCTATACTATGTAAACAAATGAAGCGAGTCACCTGAAGCTGCTAGGACAATAAAGCATTTTCATTTCATCTCATGTTTAGAGCTCCATTCTCTTTCATCTTGGCAAAAACAGACCTCTTCTGGAACTTTGAAACCTACTTAAAAAACAAACAAACAAACCTGAGGCTGTAACACATGCAAAGCTATTTCCAGGGCTCACATGTAAAGGAACATATCTAAAGAGGTACAGAGGGTCGCTTGGGTGGCTCAGTCAGTTAAACGGCTGCCTTTGGCTCTGGTCATGATCCTGGGGTCCTGGGACCGAGTTCCGCATCGGGCTCCCTGCTCAGCAGGGAGCCTGCTTCTCCCTCTCCCTCTGCCTGCCGCTCTGCCTACTTGTGCTCTCTCTCTCTCTCTCTCTCTGCGTGTCAAACAAATAAATAAAATCTTTTAAAAATAAATAAATAAATAAATAAAATAAAGAGGTAGAGAGTGTCCAAATCAGCTTCTCTCCCTCAGTCAGCATCACTGACATATTCCATCTCTTTTGGGGGGTCTAGATTACATTTCTTTCTCTTCTTTCTTTTTTCTTTCTTTCTTTCTTTCTTTCTTTCTTTCTTTCTTTCTTTCTTTCTTTCTTTCTTTTCTTTCTCTCTTTCTTTCTTTCTTTCCTTCTTTCTTTCTTTCCTTCTTTCTTTCTTTCTTTCTCTCTTTCTTTCTTTCTTTCATGGCAAAGATGGATTGAAGAGTTTGGTGCAACTTCTGCCATTCTTTCCTGAGCAAAGATTGCTGGACCTCCTTGGGTAAGAAGGAAGGTAGGGTCTGCAAAGCAGCCAGCAAACACCTTGACTCCACCACCTTCACAGAGGATTGCAGACGTACCTTCCAGCAGTGCTGAAGGGGAAGCAGAGAGCCCTGGAGGGGCCAGGGGCCCTGGACGTGGGCAGGAGGGGGCAGGGCCTCTGTGAGCCTTGCTGGCTGTGGACACTGGGGAACACAGATGACATGGCTGAGCTGAGAGGAAGCCCTGGTCAGAAGCAGAATTATATTTTCTCTTCTTTCCCAGTAGCTGCCCTCCCTGAAAATCTCTATGCTTTAAAGAAATGAGCGTGGACAGATTCCTGCGGGGAAGGGGCGGCTGGTAAAACATCCACCGAGAAATCCCTAGCTCTACCTCTGTCCCTTCTCTTCGTTACATTAAGAGGCAAGGACGCTTCTAATCATGAATACACTCCAGTTTATAAGTCACCCCGGCAGCGTCAGGGTTAGCCTGTCAGTGTTACAAGCACTAAAAGAGCCCCCCCAGATTAAAGCAAAAAAAATATTCTCTTGTGTTTGCCATCTTTGTACTGTTTAACACGAGTATTTCAACAGTCTTTATTTTCCAAACATGCAAACAGAGGAGAGTGATCTGACCCACAGTATATTGACATGTCACGTAGCTATAACCTTGAGATAAAAGTGAAGGAAAAAGTCAAAACAGCCCAAACCAAATACTAACACAAACAAGTCTTTCTGCAGCCCAGACCCTTTCCCTCTGTCACGAGGGGACACACTAACATTGGCACACAGCGGCGTGCTGGACACACATAGCTCTGGGTGGGGGCAGACCCTCGGGGCCGCAAGTGCCCAGCTGGAAAGTCTGGAGTAGTCATTCATGAATTCAACAAATGTGTGTTAAGTATCTACTCTGGGCCAGACCCAAGTCTAGGTGTTGGCAGCAACGTCTTATTACATCTAGGGGATGCATAAGACTCGCAAGGCCTCTACCCTCGTGGAACCTACCTAGTGGCATGAGGAAGAAAGAGAGAGAGAGAATATACTCCCACAGTGTTGAGAGGAGATGGGAAATAATGGCTATAGCAGAACGCTTGAGCTGCTTTCCTGGGTCCTGTATATCCAGCAAAGCAATGGCTTCAAAATCGGGGTCACCCGGTGGAATGGCTATTAAAGGCAGAAAGACAGAAAGAAAAAAAAGCAGAGGTTCTGAGAGCAGCTTCCCTCCTCATGGGACATGGAAGGGTCCTTTGGGAGCTGCGTAAGAGACAGTAAGATGCGATAAGATGATGCATAAAAGCAGTAGCAACCACAGTGCCTCTGTGCTTTGCTGAAAGAACTTCAAAGATGGACCGCCCAGTGTAATGATAGGGAAAGGAGGAAGCTTCTTCGCTATGCAGGGCTTGGTGCTGAGCATTTTACATGGATTGCCTCATTTCGTTTTCTCAATCACCACCTGGTGAGATAAACACTAATTTTATTCCCATATGAAGAAACAGACCTAGAAAGGTAAGTAACTTGCCCTTGCCCAAGGACACATCCCTGGCAGATAATGGATCCTAGCTCAGTCTCATGCCAAAATCCATGTTCTAAACCACTGCATTTCCATCCAAAAAATTATTTTTTCATCATCTTATTTAAGGGAAAGGCATTAATATTGAACAGGAAAATTATTCAGGTAGCTTCAGAAAGTGGTCTGTGTTTTCAAGATCTTATCTTAGTAGAGAAAAACATGTCCTAATAGTCAAAAGCAAATACGTATCCCTTTCTCAAATGCATGAGGAATTAAGAAATAAACTTTGACAGTTGCTTAAATGTACATAAGCCCAACATCTAAAATTTGAATTATGATTCAAGAATGATTGGAGATCCGTATTTTATTCAACTAATAAATTACTCCTCGAAGTTTATTTTAAAACTGCATACACTTCCATCTTTGTCCTCTACTTGATGATTGAATTAGTAGTAAAATAAGGTAAAGCTGGTCTCGTGAAAACAAGACAGAACTCCATAATGAAGCCTATGCTTCTTTGGGAATGAAACCATGTCAAAAATCTTTACCAAAAATTAAAAAATAATTGTAGTAGAATTGAACTTTGAAAGATGGGGAGAGGTCTTGTTTTTGCTCTAAATCATTTAAATTAGATGTAATGAAAAGTGATCGGGGTGCTTATTTTTACTTTGTTTTGTGGGAAATTGTGCTGGGAATGTGGATCTATTGTGCACAAAGGATGTTGGCTTTATGCTGGAACCACTAGGCAGGTTGAGTTGAGAAACAATTAGCTCAGTCAGCAAGCCTTTGAATCTGATTAAGCCAGGAAGTGGGCACTCCCCACGACAGGGCAGAATGAAGGGAATGGAGGCAGTAATCCAAAACAAGGAATGATTTCTCTCTCTCTCTCTCTCCTCTCTCTCTCTCACTCACTCACTCTCTCTCTCTTAGTAAACTAGTATTAGAATTCATTGTATCAAATTTATGCGAAGGATTATTTCATTACATGTTATTATCTTTGGTGAAACAAACAGAAGCTTGTTTCCAAGTAGATCAACAGTCCACATGTGTCATGGCTACTGTCTCTAAGAAACTTCTGTTTACCGAGGCCTGACATACCCTCATGTTTTGGTAACAAAACATCTTTGAGATTGAGGACCCAGGTCACAGAGGAAAACGCAGCGCCTATACGAGGCTGCTGGCTGAATTCTCCTTTTCCTGGGGGTTCTCAGTGTATTCTCTGGAGTTTTCGCTTTCTCCCCTGTCTCTTCTTACAAGCTTTGGTTCACCGGACGGAGTGTCTGGATTGCTTGTCCCATCTGGAACAGAGCTTTGGTAGGAAAATATTTTATTACATATATTGAGAGAACAAGGAAAGAAGGGAGGGAAAGAAGAAAAAGAATACATGTCCTTTTTAGGTTTTCCAACAATACAGAGAAGTCCAAATTCTACAGAAACTAGAATTTACCATAGAACGTTGATTTCCATTAGTTGACTCTTAAATGTAGGATCTTTCTGAATATCATTTTATCACATATACCATCATTTGTACTATAATGAAATGCTGTTCAAGAAATTCTTAAAAAGCTATTTTAATCTTCTCACCCTGGTATTCTGAGAAACTGGAATCTCTCTTGTGAAATTTGAATTTAGAAAAAAAATATAAACCATAAAAAATAATGTGAAAAATGGGGAACAAAAATAATTTTCAGACTAATGCTTGCACTGGAAACACTGAGGTGTGTCGACATGATCCAAGATTTGCAAGCCCCAAATCTCAGTTCTCCCACATTTGTCCTTGCATGCAACTGTGTGAACTGAAAGTCATTCAAGAAGCTGGGTGATGTACCTCTCGAATGTCACAGTTCATGAGGAAAGGGTGCGCGGGCCAAGTACAAGTCGGCACCAAGTAGGTGCTCCCTGTCTGCTGACTGAATGATTCACTGCACAAATGAAGGGTTGGCCTGGTACCGCAGCTCTCTGGGTCAAAGAAATGAACACATCTAGCCTTGCGAATCAATGTCTTCCATGGTGGTATGGCTTAAGGGGAGTTACAGAGGCTTGCAATAAATCCTTCTCTCATTGCTTCCTGTGATGCCTTACATTCACCATTGGACTCTAGAGAATTTCAAATTTAAAGGTCTTTTGATCTTTAGGAGTTTTCTATTAAAACGTAGCCACTCTTGAGAGAGGCAACATTTTAAGTCTTAAAAAAAAATTCAGCTTTTACTGGGTTATCACCTAAAAGTAAGACCCTAGACCATATCATTTTAATCTACTTATTAAATAAATATGTACTGATACTCTACTGCATGCTTGAGTTACAATGGTACACAGACAAACAAACAAGGTCTCAATTTTTAAAAAACTTCATCTAGTGGGGTTCAAGGACGGTGAGTAGATGGGAGAAAACAGAATGGTGGGAATGTGGAACTGAAGGAGGAAAGTGTGGGATGGTGTTTTTCTTTTTTTCTTTTCTTTTCTAATACATTCTTTTACATCTACCTCCCCAGGCTTGCCCATCTGCTCTTTACCCCAACTCCTGCCTGAAGCCATACGTTCATTCAAAGAAATATTTATTAAACATCTACTGGAATGCAAAGAGTAGGAAAAACATTTTATATCAGTACCAAGAATGTACATAAATACATCCCTATAATTCTCTCTAGCTAAATAGATAGAGTTTGGTATATATATATATATAACTAAATCTATATAACAAAAGTTTCACAAAACAATATTTAGCCTTCTGTGTGAAACGAAGTCTGATATTTTCTATTCCATTAATTTTTTTAGTTCTGATTTCAGAACTGACCCAAAGTTTAACAAAACCACAATTCTGGTCCAATTCAGCATCCCTTTTTCTAAATTCTTTGTCTATCCCTGCTGTCTATCATAGAACATCCAACAGATACTGAGATTTGATTAGGATCAAAAATTATTGAATATAGGTTTGTTCTACACCAAGATCTGTTTTATCAGTTAGACCCAGAGAAATGACAAGATCTGTGGCCGTGGTGCACAGATACTTGGTGGCTATTTGATTCCGAGATTGACAGCATGGGGAATTGGAATCCAAAAGATAAGACTGGGGAGATGGAGCCTACGTTTAAGTCCTGAGTCTGACATTTTTGGCATATGGCCAAGAGCAGGACCCTCCCTCAGCTAGTTCTTCATTGCTTTTACCTAGAACATGAGGGATTTTGCAGGTAAAGAGAGTCCGTGCGACACTATCTGACCGTAAGATGCTCAGTGAGAATGACCAAATTGAACAAAGCTTGTACAATAAAGGGCATCACCAGTTTTAAAGCTCTACACACATGCTGGTTAATACCATGCCTTTCGTTTGTGCTGTGAGGGAGGAAAATTTCTACCCTCCAGCGCAGGGAGGGTACCCTTCACATGGGGAATTCATTTCCTGCTTTCAGGGGGACAGAGGAGAGTCAGTGTTCTTCTTGCACCTGTTGTTTCCTAAATAACTTTAATTCAAAATAATCAATATGCCAAAGTCGCATACTTGGGGGCCACTTGTCCTCAATCCCATCAGTGCCCAAGCTCTGTCCAACCCTTCCTTCCTAATCTCTTGCCATCCGCTCACTTTCCCATTCCATTCCCTGATGAGCAGCTGAGTTCCCCCATCCTATTACCTGCCGGGACCTCATCTCTACCACCCTTCCCTTCACTCATTCCATTTCCTTAGCCATCACATGGCTCCTTGTTGTGTTCAAATATTCCAAGGTTTTTTATTTGCCTCAGGGCCTTTGCACTGTCTATTCTCTGCCTGAAGCCTCTTCCCACACATGGCTTGTTCCCTAACTTCCTTTAATTCTTTGAAGACATGTCACTTTCTCTTTGATGCCTTCCTTCATTACCCTCATTACCCTATTTAAAATTATAAATTTTATAAATTTATAATTTATAAAATTTATAAAATATTTATAATTTATTTATATTATTTATAAAATAATAAAATTATAAATCTCCCCCACAGAGAGATCCCCAATTTCTCATTCCCTGTTCTATTCTTTTCCCCATGGTCCTTATTACCATCTAATATACTATATAATGTACTTATTTATTGTTTGTTTATACCCCTCCCAAAAAAGTATATATTATACAAGGGTGGGGATTTTTTTTTCTTTTTGTTTACTGCTCTACCTGTAGCACTCGGAACAGAGTGAGTCACATACTAAGTGTTCAATAAATATTGTTCAATAAACATGGTTGAATAAGTGAATGAGTCCCATGTTCTGGTGGCACAAAATTTTTCACACCATTGAACTCTGATTAGGTTGCAAGGACTAAAAGTCAAGCTGGTATTTATACTAAAGCAGGAAAAAAATCCTCAGGAGAAGGAAAGCAATAAGAATGCTCTCTCTTTCAATGATGTCTAAGTGTGGAACAATGTGATTTTTTTTTTCTTTTTCTGGTGAGTTTCCTAGCGAACCAACAGTTCTATCTGATCGGGGTCAACTTCAAAAGGTCTCTGACTCATTCCACAGCCCTCTCTACCAGCCACTTTTGTTTGTTTGTTTGTTTTGTTTTGTTTTTAAAGATTTGTTTATTTATTTGAGAGAGGGAGAGGGGCATGGAGGGCAGGGCAGAGGGAGAGAGAGAGAGAATCCCAAGCAGACACCCCGCTGAGCTCAGGGCCGATGCTCCATCTCACAGCCCTGAGATCATAACCTGAGCCAAAATCAAGAGTCAGACGCTTAACCAACTGAGCCACCCAGGCGCCCCTACCAGTCACTTCTTAAGTTGCCTGCAGAATGAATCTTCCTCTGGTGGAAAGACAATTTGTACATTTCAATCATATTGATATTTCCTTTTACAAAAGACTCCATATCCCTTTTGAGACTTATAAAAGATAGATTTTTACAGGTGATATAGTACTTTGTATTTGTTCAGTGCTTTCATTCCAGACTTTCTAAATTCTTCGCAAATATTGGTCCTCAGACTCTCCTAGCTCTCTTCTGACAGCAACATGATAAGCAGATTTCCTACAATTTCTGAACTAGGTTATTTAAAGGCATCAGCTGCTAGAAAGTATGCAGCAAGGAGATTCAGTGCCTTAAGGACTGAGCTCTACTTGAATCCTGGAGAACGTGTCTTGGCAACTCTGGTGACTTAGTTAATGGCAGGCAGCAGCGCTGCACCCAGAATCCTGCCTGGAGACAGGAACTTGGGAGAAAGGCCCCAGTGCCCTGCTCAGTCACAGAAGGGACTTGATTATACCAACACTCGAGCCTCTTACAGCTTCAACAGTCCTGTGATTGCCAAACACCTGATGGCCAATTTTCCATGTGGATAGCCTAAATTTCTTTTTTTTTTATTATTATTTTTAAAGATGTTTGTTTATTTACTTGAGAGAGAGAGGTGGGGGGCAGAGGGAGAGGGAGAAGCAGACTCCCCGCTGAGCAGGGAGCCTGACAGGGGGCTCGATCCTAGGATCCTGAGATCATGACCTGAGCTGAAGGCGGACGCTTAACCAACTGAGCCACCCAGGTGCCCCTAGATAGCCTAAGCTTCTTTAAGCTCGGCTTCTCCCCCCAAAATCATATCACCACCAAAAGCAATGATTTCTTCTCCTGACTTTCCTGGTTCTGAACCCAATTTCAAACCCTAGAGTGACTTTTGACTCAATCCTTCCCTCCAAACTAGTGCTTCTCAAACTATAATGTGCATATGAATCACCTGGGGATCTTGTCAGAATGTATACTCTGATTCAGTAAATCTGGGATGAGGCCTGAGACTCTGCCTGTCTCACAAGTTTCCAAGGGATGACAATGCTGCTGGTCCTAGGACTGTGCTCTGGGCAATAGTGCCCTAAACCAACCTACCCTCAGCCCCACTCCTACCCCACCGCATCCAGTTCATTGCCAGCTAACTTTTATTTTTCCTGTGAAGCATATCCCTGTGCATGCTTTCCTCTCGTTCTCACTGTGAACCACCCCCGCTCAACTCCTTATCACTTTCCACCCCCACCCAGGTCTTATGCCTTGATAACTTCAATAGCTAAACTGTGGGAACCCATTCATTAATGAGTTATAAAATCAATCTATTGGGTAGCTAGCAGCATTTATAAAACATGGATAGAATAGAATAGAATAGAATAGAATAGAATAGAATAGAATAGAATAGAATAGAATAGAATAGAATAGAATAGAATAACAGAATAGAAGAGAATCGGTGTATCACACATAATAACGGTATTATGATTTTGGTTAGATATAAAATTTAACTTGGCCACGATGCAAAATATATTTCTTGCTATGGATAGAGGTTTAAAAAATAGTTTGGGGGGCACCTGGCTGGCTCAGTGGATGGAGTGAGCGACTCTTGATCTCAGGTTGTAGGTTCAAGTCCCACGTTGGGTGTAGAGATTACTTTTAAAAAGGTAAAATCTTGAAAAAAATAATAGTAAAGAAAAAAATTTGTTTCCAGTTTGAAGACCAAGTTCCTACAAAGACACCTAGGCCCCCCTGCATCCCCACCCAACATGCACATGACAACAGGCTCATCTTTCTAAACCTCCGCTGCGTCAGTCAGGCTCCTTCTTCAAGAACCTTCAGTGTTGCTTCATTGTCCAAACAAAGTTCAGATATGTTAGCCTGAATTTCCAGGCCCTTCTCAACCTGGCCTCATGTGGCTTTCAAGCCTGATTTCCTACTCGTTTGTGCCCAGAACCAGCCCTGCCCCCCATCTGGGCGCCTGTCTCACTGTCCGCCCAAGCTTGGCTGCTATGTTCCCATCTTTGCACATGTTACTTGAGCTGCCCAGACTGCTCTTCCCTCTGCCATCATCTCCCGCTGAAATCACACCCAGCCTCCAAACCTGCTTCGGCTCCTGTTTCCCCCATGGTGCTTTCATCAGCAATCCTTCCCCCAGAAGTGGTATCTTGTCACTGGCCTCTTGTCGCACGGAAAGCACTCACTCTTCTTGCCGCATTTGGTGGACGTTCTTCTAAGTGCATTTCTTTCACATCCGGACTGTAAATTCCAATGGAAGTTGGAACCATTATATCTATAATTATTACTTGGTGAGCTTGCTCATCCAATTTAGCCTCTCTGTGCCTCGTTTAGGAGGTAGGAGGAGGAGATCGCCATCATTGTAAGGATTAAATGAGTTAACACATGTCAAGTGTTTAGTGTCGTGCTTGGCATACAGTAAGTGCTCAGTAAATGTTAATTGTTATGATGCTGTCTGCACAGTGCCTATCACATCCCTCGATCGTAGTAGACCCACAATAGATGTTTGTAAGTGAATAAATTAGGGCATATTAAAATTATTCCTCTACAAGTTTCTATTTCTGTTGTGACTGCTCCCCGCTTCCTTCAATTCATCTGCTTCTGGGAACAGCATCCTTTACGTGGGCAATTTAAAGATTCAGAGGGAGGGCTCACAATTATCCCATGCAATTAGAGTGTTAGCAGCTTCTCTTGCAAAACCCAAGTCAAGTCCTAGGAACTGCCCCATGGAGCAGAAAGCTAGCCTGTCAGAAAGAGCTGTGGGAGGAGAGTGCAGGCGGAGGGCCTTCCTTCCTTCCAAGCACCTCCTCCTGGTCCTTCCTGAAACCTGGGTGCCCCGCTGTACCCAGCTCTTGTCTCTCAGACACTGCCTCTCCCGTTTCCTTTTCCCACTTGACTTCTCTTCCCTACCCGCAAAACTCTTCCTTTTACATTCTTTTCCCTCTCCCTAAGTATAATGTTTTTAAAAAGAAAAGAGGGTGCCTGGGTGTCTCAGTCAGTTGACTGTCACACTCTTGGTTCTGGGCTCAGGTCATGTTCTCAAGGTGGTAATATGGAGCCCAGCATCCGGGCTCCGCGTTCAGCAGGGAGTCTGCTGGAGACTCTCTCTCCCTCTGTCCACCCTCCCCCCACCCCCGCTCACGTGTTTGTGTGCTCTCTCTCTCTCAAATAAATAAATACATACATACATAAATCTTTTTAGAAAAAGAGAAGAAAGCAAGAAGAGGGAGGCTGTGACTCAGGGGACACCTCGCCCTCTGGCTCACAGGCACTGGGCGGGGGAGGCGGGGGAGCACCAGGAAAGATGGGTGTGCTTGCTCCTGAGCCACCACCGTCCACAGGGTGGATTTCACAAGTTACTGAATGGCATTCATACACCAGCCTACTCCATGAAAGATCTTTTCAAAGTTTTGTGTAAACAAAGCAAAATTCAAGCTGGCAGCTACAACAGAAATAACAGGCCACTGCAATCCTGCAGCATTTTTCAACTTTTGAAAGGAAAGCAACAGTTCGGGCTAAAGTAGTTAAGGCAACCTGGAATCTAAGCATCTAATAATGCCAGCTATCTACTTGGAGTTACACCAGCAGAGGAGTGTCTCTTTTGCTTTTCTCTTGTTTGGTCCAGTGTTTCTCTCTCAGAGGAGTGACGTGTCGATCAAGAGGGCCTTGCCTCTGAAGGCAAAGACCGGCCCCAGGCTCAGCATCAGTGCTCAATTGCTCTTAATAATTCTCCTGTTTTGTTGTGCTATTGACGCTGGCTCAACCTCCACAGTGTCCCTTGGAAACTTTCCTCTTGCAGAATCAAGCCAACCTCCTTTGACTACAGATGGTTCTGTTTTTATCCACTGGAGTTTTATGGTATGGCAATGCCATGTCTGGAATTTCAGACTTAGCTACACGAGAAGTTCTGTGTGAGCATACACGTGTGTGCTTCTCCCCGCCCCCCCAAATTCTCTAAGTCGGACATTCAAAATAAAATATGCCAGGAAAATGAAAAGCTGGATCTCAAAAAGACAAAACAAAACAAAAATACCAAACACCCCCTCCAACAACAACAACAAAAAACCCAGGCTGTCCACAGAAGCTACAAAAGCAACATACCCCAAAACCAAATTGGTAGCAACTGATTTTTTTCCCCTCGAATTTATTGATACTATACATACAGTCATATTTATTTCTCTGCCAAAAACCTAATTTGTAACTACTTTTAGTCCTGCCCTCATTCTATATCTTGTTTCAGGCACAACTCTTTCTGGTTTTCTCTCTCAACCTCAAGACATTCCTTGACCAGGAACAAATGATTTATGGGTCAGGAATAAGTGGTTTCCAGGCTCAGTGACCACAAAGGTCTCCTTCATCAGACTCGGAGCTGAGTTAAAGATGAGCCCAGAATTTTTTTTTTTCAATATATATTGCTCAGTTCTGGTGACACCATTCCCTCTTTAACTATTTTCATTCTGCACTTTGGGTCTTTTTCCCTCAAAGGAGACTTAAAAAAAAAAAAAAAAAAGCTCTTGAAAAGCTGGACGCCACTGCACCCAGAACGATTAACGTCCCACCACGCATTCGCTCTAATTATAATCTTTGTTACTTGAGAAACAGGAATCGCATATTTGCATCCCACCAGCAGGCTGAGGCTGCATAATCTCAAAAGAAAAGCAGAAAGTAAAAGATAACGCCGTTGCTGGGCAGGATTTCAGGGTTCTGTGACATGTTTCCTTTCCGGTTCCTCCCATTTGTAATTTTAGCAATTTGTGAGAAAGATGAACGGTAGACAATGAATCAAAATAAAACATACGGCAAGGGTTATAAAGCCAAGCTTTTACGCTAGTGACAACTTACCTTACTAGTGAAGGTTATAATTGTGATGGCAAAGGCAACACAGAAAATCAAAAAATGAGCTTGTATGAATCATGTCTGTGTGACACTGATGGCTTCTTGGCCTCATTGTCATCCCAGATGAGGAGGAGATCTGAGTCATAAATCCATTTAGCCATTTGCTGTTCTTTCTAGCTCATAATGAAGTTGTCAAACTGTGAGACAGATTGAATTTTTTCCAGAGGTACATTCTATCACGGATGTTATTTTTCCATTTCCCTCTCACAGGCCATCACGACTGGTATACTTCCGCTGTTGGCTCACAAAGAGTGGACCAAGAGATACCTGGTAAATATATAGACATCGAGTAGGATGGTTGAATAGGTTTGAAGGTCAAATCTCTACAAGTTCAGGATGGAACATAGAGAACTTGATTTCCAATTGTCATCGAATTCTGTCTGATTGATGCCTTAGTCTGATGGATTTCAGTAATAAACTAGGTTTTAAATGAATAATTTTGATCTGATTTCTTCTCCAAACATTTTCTACAAGCTCCTGTGATTATTGTAAATAAGTGTTCCAGTTTGGAGACAACACAACCGACATTAATGCTCCTGAATTTCATTTTGAATAAATGGATCTATAGGCTCCTCTGTTTTTAAGCATGTATTTTAAAGACTCAACTGCTCAGTTTGGGATCTCCTTCCAATGTCTCTGTTACTTCTCCCCCACCCCAAAAAAGGGTGAAAAGTCTATGATATCTTGCATATCAATAGTGTGAGCCAAGTAATCCCATGGTATAGAAAGACTACCTTGACCTGATCATAGATTTTCCCATGGCTCAAACTTTAATGTACGTGTGAATCACCTGGGAATCTAGTTAAAACGCAAAGTCTGATTCAGTAGATCTGGGTGACCTGTGAGATTCTACATTTCTAACAAACCTCTGGGGATGTCAGTGCTGCTGGTCCGTAGACCATGCCCTGATTAGCAAGGTGCTAGGACAAGCCAAGGATTCTGTGTACTCATGTTTGTTTTTCCCACCCCAGACTGGCTGTCAACATGTGATAGAAGAAAAACAAACACATGTTTGCTGAATGGAATTCATTTCAATTTTGGCCCAGTTAGCTGATATGTTATTCCCCCATATTGTAGATTCAAGAGGAGAACAAAATGGCCTAAAAGAGAAAGTTGTAATGCATTTCTCCTTAGCTTCCCAGTAAAAGAGATTAATACCTGACATCTTCTTTCTTCGTATTGCTGAGAAACTTTTGAAGAATTCAGTTCCCAAAGTAACAATTTGTTTTTGCTTTATTTTCAGTGGGAAACTAGTTTCACCTTTGTGATCCTGAGCATGATGCGATGTCCACTTCATTTTGCAGTAGCCTTGGAATCTGCTCTCCTTGGCCCATATTGCTTCTACTCATTTTCAGGGATAGCAGGGACCAATTACCTTGGTTATGCCGTTGCCCTTCCTTTTTCCATATGCAAACTTCCCATCAGCTCGTGTGGACCCACCACACTATGAAGAGTACCACCTGACACTTCAAGCCTTCCACCTGTGCCTGAGATTTGCCATGCTCTGTGTGTCCCTGACTGTGTTCATCAAGCTTTCTGCAGGACTTCTCTGGAAGAGACACTTACATGTAAGTTTCCAGAAAGGAGGAACCCATTCTTCTTCCATCCTGAATGCTAAAACTGGAAGTCTGCCATATCAGTACTTAATCTGCCTCTCTTATTTATCACTGTGTTTCCTATAACCAAAATTTTCCCACCCTTTTTACTTCTGCCCCAGCAGAGGCTGATATATACCAACATCAAATTTAGCTTTCTAACTTTTTCCCAGATGGCTAAGAATAATATTGATAATATGATAGTAATAGAAATATGAACAGAATGTTTACTCTCAATGTTCTTCCCATTTTACAGATAGTAGACTGAGGCTAAAGAGTTTATGAAACTTGCCCAAGGTCACACGGTTAATGAGTAGTAGGGCCAGATTCAGAACCCGGAGCTATTTCTCTTAACAGACCAGATATATCCTGGGCCCTCTTGTCACCCACCTTGTACCCTCTCTCTTCCTCTAGATCATCAAGATGTATGGTTCTGGCCTCCAGGAGGGTTAGAACAGAACCACTGGGAGTGATTTCTGATTCCAAATTCCTATGTCTGATACTGGGTAGCACTCCATTGTGAGTTGCACAGCCTCCTCCTGGAAAGAGATATTTCCCACAACAAACTCTTATACTGGCGTTATGATTCAAGTTAGTATTATATTAAGGTCAGGTGAATTTGGGTTATGTTAGCCAATTTTTTTTCCAGTTTGATCCTATCAACACAAATCAGCAAAGCCAAAAGACAAGAACTTGGCACTCTCGATAACTTTTGTGGTCAGACTTGTCCTCTTCAACTCCTACATAAGTCTGCAAAGGAAATCCTGTACATTCTTAGGAACAGGGTTGATTTTGCAAGGAGGCCTCCTGAGAATTGAGGCTCGCAGGCTGCTGTACTGCCAGTGCATCTAGAAGTTTAGAATGTGAGATTTCTCCCTGGCAGGGACCATCCCAACTCCCTAGAGCCCTTTGTTAAAAGGAACATAAACCCAGGAAAACCACACATTAAAGCATCAGCTACCCATAACCCCTTGGCATGGATAGCTAATCAGACATCTGGCTGCCATCTTGGGCATGACACCCAAGATTTAACATTGGATGGAAGGCAGAGAGAAAAGAATGAAAAAGTATCTGCAGAGCTTGGTAAGTCAGCCTCTTGGACACCTAATAGTGAGGCCACCTAAAGTGCCTGGAAAGAGAAAATATTAATTGAAAACAGAGCAAAGTTCTCCAAGTTCAGAATTTTGCCTTTGCCCATCTTGCTCAGAGCAGTTTCTTGGTGTGTGATTACTAAACTAGGTATAGGACACAACACAACTACAACATGTTTTTCAAAGTGGATCAATGTCAACAGAATCACCCATGGTTCTTGTTAAACCATATGTCTGGCTTCCATCCTGGCCCATTCTTACGGCAGAAACTCTGGGCTGAAGGCAGGGAATATGCATTTTTAACACATGCCCCAAGAGATTCTGGTCAAAATTCTCTTCCTAGCACAGGATTCTCTTAGTGTAACTTCTGGGCAGAATCTCCGTTTTCCCATCTGCGTAAAATGCAACAGTAGTTTGGGTGAGGGTTCTCGATAAATTTAATAAGCAGCAAATCTTTGGTGAGCGTTTTTGGATGACTTGAAACCATGTAATCCATGATGGTGGCAGATCATGTTTCATTAGCAAGGATGAGTGGCTGACATATTGGGATATGAATTTTTGTATTAATAAATACACCACTGCCCCCAAGGAGCACGTGTAGCTTGCACAAACCTTTGTTACTATGTGGGGCACCTTGGTGGTTCAGTCGGTTACGTGTCTAACTCTTGATTTCTGCTCAGTTCATGATCTCATGGGTGTGGGAGAGAGCACCACATCAGGCTCCACACTCAACATGGAGTCTGCTTAAGATTCTCTCTCCCCCTCTGCCTCTGCCCCTTCCCCCACTAGTGTTCTCTCTCTCTCTCTCTCTTTCTCAAAACAAATAAATAAAATCTTAAAAAAAAAACCTTTGTTACCATGTTACCATGTAGAAATAGCTACATGAGGCACAATTTCCAGCAGTGAAATAATGTATTGTTTGTCAAAATTCTAGAAAACGCACAACTTTCTTAGAAGAAATGGCAGATCACTTGTTAAGATACAGAATTCTACATGGTGATTCTGCATTTAATGAGCTTCCGTATTGTTATATTGTTAGGTTCCCTTCAGGCTGAAAGAGATAAGTAATATTTTTATTTTTTATTTATTTTTTAAATGTTTTATTTAAATTCAATTTAGTTAACATACACTGTATCATTAGTTTCAGAGGTAGAATTCAGTGATTCATCAGTTGCATACAACACCCAGTGCTCGGTATTTCAAGTGCCCTCCTTAATGCCCATCACCTATCAGGAAACTAAAGAGCTATGAAAATTTGTAAAAAAGAAAAAAGTGATAGTTTGATGGAAGATTTGGAGGAAATTGTAATTGTATTGCATTATAGAACAAAATCATTTTTTTCCTCAGCTCTGTAATAGTCTATATTATGATGGAAAATATTCACTTCTAAGAACTTTCCTGTAAATTCAAAAACATGTTTCCAGAAACAAATCAAACACTGCCTTAGGAATCACCATTCATTATGTCTCCGCTCTCTGTGTCTTTTCATTTTAGGAGAATTAGAGTCATCTTGCATCCCAGTCAGCTCAAGCTGTTATAGCAAAATACCATAGATGTGATGGCTTAACCAACACATTTATTTCTCTCAGTGCTGGAGGCCAGAAGCCCAAGATCAAGGTACCAGTATGGTCGGTCTTTGGTGAGGCCTCTCTTCCTGGTTTCTGGACAGTCACCTCACTGTGTGCTCACTTGGCCCTTCCCGTGCCTGCTCCTGGACAGAGAAGATCTCTGTGCTCTTCTTATAAGGACACTTATCCCATCATGGGGGACTCATCCTCATGACAGCATCTAAACCTAATTATCTCCCAAATGACTCACCTCCAAAGACCATCCCAGTGGGGATTGGGGCTTTAACATATGGATTTGGGAGGGAGACACTAACAGCTGATAACATCTCATTGAAGGTCACACAGTGTTGGTGTGTGAGCATGCAGTCAGCTGGTACCCAACCAAAATCACGGTGAGAAATGCTTGAAAGAGGCATAAAGGATGTGATGATTTTGATTAAAAAAATGTATATGAGTGCTACAGACTGAATGTTTGTGTCTCTGCAAAATTCCTTAACCCCCACTGTGATAGTATTAGGAGGTAGGGCCTTTGGGAGAGAATTAGGTTTAGTGAGGTCAGGAGGGCAGAGCTCCCATGACGGGATTAGCTTCCATGAGGCCCTTATAAGAAGATGAGGAGGACAGAGTTGTCTCTCTCCACCGTGTAAGGAGACAGCAAGAAGGTGGCCATCTGCCAAATAGGAAGAGGGCTCTCACCAGATGCTGGATCCGCTGACACCTTGATCTTGGTCTTCCAGCCTCTAGAACTGTGAGAAATGTTTGTTGGTTAAGCCGCCCAGCCTATGGTAGTTGGTGATAGCAGCCCCAGCTAAGACCGCGAGCCCTTCCAAGTTTCCATCCTGGCCCAGGATGGAAAAAGAGGGAACTGGAAAAGGAATATGAGCCCCCGCCCCGGCCCCCGCGCGCGGCTCCATGCAACACGCTGAAGTGACCTTGGCAGCTTAGGACTCAGTGCAGGGGGCAAAGAGCACCACATAGGATTAAGTTGAGAAAGCAAAATGCAAAACAACCATAGCCGAAATTGTCTACATTCTTGGTCCAGTAAGTAATAAAGTGATGGGAAAGGAAAGAATTGGGACACCAGACGCGCTACAGCTGTCCCCTGCAGCTACTCTGTCCCTCCTCCACGGAATGGAACGACTCCGGCTCCATCTGTTTTCCTTTCATTATTCATTGTTATGTTTGGGGTTTGCTTTTTTTTTTTTTTTATGAAAGGGGAAAGAAAATATTTTCCCCCTTATCATGTGATACAGTGGTTTTCTTTCTTTTCTTTTTTTCAAGAATTGAGAAATATTTACTTCCCATAAAAGATGGAGGTAAATGCTTTAAACAGTTCAAAAACATATGAGGACAGAATATTTATCAGCGGATGAGGCTCTTCCTCCAAACAAAAAACAAACGCAGAAATGCACTGGCTCCAAATCTTCTAGCGGATATACCCTGTATCATTAGCAATACAAAGGTGTTTTGAAACACATTCATCTATGACTCTCATCCTAAAGGTCTGAAACCTCATGTTGGGCTTTAGCAAGTTCTCTCCAGTGCTTCTGGGAACTAAATCCCCTCGGGGAGATTCAAGTAAACCTCAAGCAGGACCACACAACAGTCAGAATCCACTGTATTTCTTCCTCACCAGTTCCTTTATGTGGTCTCTTCGAAGTGGTCAACAGGAAACTCAGAATCTAGGAAAATAATTGCAATTCAGGGCATTAGCATTCCCTTTATCTCATTAGGTCATCTGGAATGATAATGGTGGTGACATGAGCCTGGGCAGGAGCAGGGTAATTGTAGATGCTATTTATTGCGCAGTTACTACTTGTCAGGTGCTTTACCTCCTTCCTTCCTCACAACCTTGCAAAGCTCATCAGCCCCGTTTCACAGATGACGACGTTGAGTTGGTCAGACGGAGTTAGGATTCTCTCCCAGTCTCAAAGGGTCTGGAGGTCAGGCTCCTCCCTGCTCGCCCACACCTCACAGTGTTTCTTCAGCTTTACAGACTCCAAGTGGTTTTGCACAGGCATGCATTTTTGTGGACAGCCTTTCTTATGTCTCTCACAGACAAAAATTAACTCACATATTAGAAATGGAAGCTATTTTTTTTTCCAGGATATTTTCATTTCATTTAATCAGTGAGACCACACCACGGGTGATAGCAACTTACGAATAGAGGAAATGAGACCAAAGTGTCTTTTGTGATGTATGAAAATAAGCTTGATATTTTGTCAGAGCAGAAGCAATAGGTGAGAAGGTAACTGGGCAACTGCTTTTTGTCATGTTTTACTTTATAATCATTGTGAACATCAACATGTTTTCC